CGTTGGACAGCTTTCAGAGGATCATTTTCCAATCTTCACCTTGGACAGAATTGTATAATAAGGATTGAGTAGCCTTTGGATGACAGATTCTGAATCCCGCTGATTCTGGTCGCCCATACAATCAGAATCTTGGTTTCCATAAGTAGAGCTTTGTCCGTTGTAATGCATTCTTATCGTAATGTTTGATTGTCAATCAATTTGATTGAGATTGAGACAATCATAATATTCCTTCTGCGAAATCCATGCCAGATCACTAGCTGTTGTGTTTCGTTCTGAATTCTACGTCTGAAGAAATTCTGCGTTTGAATAATTTCTGCGTCTGCGTCTGCATCTGAATAACTTCTGCGTCTGAATCTCAGAACCTAGATTATGTGGGTCTTCAAAGAACTTATTATTTTTTCAGCTTGTAAAGTCAGAAAAACTTCCTTCTGAGCTTCCAGAATGTACATACATACCTGGAATAAGATAGTTCAGAATAAGTATCAGATTTACAATAACATGAAAGGTTTTGTCAACTTCAAAATCAATAGGAGTTTTCCTCAACAATCTCCCCCTTTTTGATGGTGACAAAACTTCCTTGCAGATTGAATCAATTTGAAATTAATTTGAATTAAATAAGCATATTAAGCGCATGAATCACAGATTGAAGAGTAAACTCTATTGATATCTATGTCTTTGCTTCCTTTGTATATAACCTGTATATGATCTGCATGTTAGTGGCAAATCTGCATATAATTTCTCCCCCTTTTTGTCATCAGAAAAATAATTATAGAGAGAAGAAAGCACTCATATTAAGTAATCAATCAGTCTAACAAGAAGAATCGTTAGTGATATTATAGACCAATTGAAAGAAAGATGATTTGGAGAGAAATGTTAAAGAGCAGGCTATTTTTTAGAAGGAGTACGAATCAGTTGAAAATTTTCCAATATTAACACAGCCTCCTCAATCTTCAAACTGCATTGACCTATAGCCTTATCCATGTTGGATGAGCACATAGCAATGGCTTCCTCAAGTTCTGCTTTGTCTGCTGCTGCTTGAAGTTGTTGAGTTTTGTTGTTTTCCTCAACAATTCTCTGTAGATTCTTCATGTCTTGTTCTAGTGCAGCTTGCTTATCCTTTATCTCGAGCAGAATAGAGAGGATGTTCTGATTTTCTGAAGGCTGTTCTTGGACATTAGGTTGCTCAGACTAATTGAACCCGGTGGCTGCTTCTGGTTGAGTCTCCCCCTGAACATATGCTTGATCTTCAGAAACATGTTCTTCATGAATTGGTTCTGAAACCTTTAAAGTTGGTTCAGAAACATGTTCTGGACCATCAGTGTGTCCTGTTTCAAAGTGCTCTGCTTCTGCTTCATCACTTTCATCATGCAGAAGAATTTTTCGTTTCTTTCTATACACTTTGAGTGGGGTAGGAGAGTCAGTTTTCTTGCTGGCTAGACTAGTTCTTTTCCTTTGCCCTTTTTCTCTTTCACTTGTCTTTCCAACAGATTTTGCCTCCGACTGTTGAGCCTCTTTTCCTTTTATTCTTTCACTTACATCATCAAACTGCTTCATTTTGGAGAGCATTCTTTCTCCAACAAACATACAGGGAACAAGGTTCTTGCGCATATCATCAGGAATAGATATTTTTAAGAACATGAAGATACGAGAGATTATAGCACCATATGGCAATTGTCTCTTGTCCTTCTGCAATGCTCTGTACATATGGAAGATAATGATATGAGGAAGAGAAAAAGGTTGACCTTTCAAGATAGCTCGAATGAGCTTGATTTCTGATTTGGATAGGTCAGTTTTGGAGGCTGCCTTAGGCTTCAAGCATTTGATTATGATCTTATGCAAGATCACAGACCGTCTGGATAAGTCAAAGTAGGAAAGATGTCGCTTAGATCCTTGAGCAAAGTTTGGATTTTCAGAAGCCACCTTGGAAGCATCTTCAAGGTTTACTGCCAATGGAGTAAACTTGGAATGTTTTGCTCCAATTATTAATGCCAACTCTTCTGCTTTTAAATCGAACTTTTTGTCACCAACAGTGAATTGGATCCAGTTGGTTGACAAAATGGAGAGATTGGAATAAAAGTAGGCAGTCAATTCAGCATAAACATTTGCAGATTGAAGGCAAAATTTATAAATGCCTAACTTCTCAAACAGGTGCTTTACTGAAATGCCAGCCTTCTCTAGGTAGTCGAAATCCACAGTTCTGTGGTTCATGACCCCTCGAGCAAGCAACAACTTATAACAGACATTATGTTCTTTACTTCTGAACAATCCTCCTATACCTGGCACACCAGATGCTATTCCCACTTTCATTTCAAAAATTTCAAAAAATCGAGCATCATCATCAGGAATAACAAATTTTGAGGCACTTGTGGACTTAGGGCTTAGAGGAACAAATTTCTTTTCAGAAGGAGTGGATGTTTCTCCGACTTTTTCCTTGCCCTTTCTGGAAGAAGGCTCTTTTGGTGTAGAGTTGGCCGGAACATTTTCAGTGGTAGGACAAACCTTAGAGTAGTTTTCCGTAAGATGTTCTTCGGAGAAGAATCCATTGTCTCTTAGACAGTCACGCAGAGTCGATGCAGAGGCATTGCTTCTCTTTAACCTCTGATAAGCATTCCATACAAGCTTGATGCTCTTAAACCGAAAATTTATTTTATCAGAAGTTTTGGGTGGCGACGATCGAGGAGGTGGAGTCGCTTCAGAAAGGTCTTCATGATGGTCGGACTCTGTGTCTGAAATCTCCATATACTCCGCCGGTGCTGTAGATTTGGAGTCTTGGTTGAGAATACGTGAAGATCTTCTTTTGAACGGCATTTTGATCACTTCTGGAGCAGAAAGTTTCGATCTTTGGAGGAAAAAGAGGAGAGTCTCTGAATATCGGAAAGTTTTGGAGAGTAAAAAATCGTACTGATAGGGTTTTGAAAAGTGACGGACAGGTTTATAAATGAGAAGGACGGGTTTTGGAAAGAAAAAGTCATTTTTAGAAATTATAATAAGTGAACCCAGATAGGAAGGAAATAAACTTTTTGAAGCACAAACAATCACGACAATATATTATAACAATATTTTAAGCACAAATAATCAGATAAATTAGAATACATACCTGATTTGTTTCCAAAAGTAACAAATGTGAAAATTTTCTGCCAAAAATATTCCCGCCAAAATTTAAACTAAGTACGTACCTTTCTTTGTGAGTCTGAAAAGGATATTCAGACTCAGAACATTTGAGTCTGAAAAATTCCTGTCTATCAAACACTTCAGGAAAAAGAATAAGTAATGCACAATTTGTTTCTAATTTACTCAACTGAAGATTTATCAAGAGGTTTTGTGAATATATCAGCTAATTGATAGAATCAATTAATTGAATATTCACATCTCCATTTTGAACATGATCTCGAATAAAATGATGCTTTATTTCAATATGCTTCGCACGTGAATGAAGAATTGGATTCTTAGTCAGATTAATAGCACTTGTGTTGTCACATTTGATTACAACACTTGAATCTTCAATGGCAAAGTCTCGCAACTGCTGCTTCATCCACAGAATTTGTGCACAGCAACTTCCCAGGACTATATATTCTGCTTCTGCTGTTGAAAGTGCAACTGTATTTTGCTTCTTTGAATACCAGGATACCAACATATTCCCAAGCAGTTGACATGTACCTGTAGTACTTTTCCTGTCCACTTTACATCCAGCTAAATCATCATCAGAATACCCAGTAAGAGTAAAATCTGAATCTTTGGAATACCAAAGACCTAACATTGGATAAGTTCCAATGTATTTGATTATCCTCTTTACTGCAGAAAAATGTGATTCCCTTGGATCTGATTGAAATCTAGCGCACATACAGACACTAAAAATTATTTTAGGTCTAGATGTAGTAAGATACAAAAATGAACCATCATGCTTCTGTATATCTTATGATCTACCTTTTTACCACGTTCATCCTTGTCCAGTTTGGATGTATGGGACATTGGAGTGTCTATTTTCTTGCTCTTCTGTAATCCAAACTTCTTGACAATCTCCTTAGCATACTTCTCTTGGCAAATGAATGTACCATCTTTGGTTTGTTTCACTTGTAGGCCAAGAAAGAATGTTAGCTCGCCCATCATACTCATCTCGAATTCATTCTGCATATTCTTTGAAAATTCTTTACAAAGCAGTTCGTTAGAGGAACCAAAAATGATATCATCAACATAAATCTGAACCAGTAAAAAGTCCTTACCTTTTCTCTTAATAAATAGGGCTGTATCAACCTTACCTTTTGTGAAGTTATTTTGCAGAAGGAAGGTACTTAACCTTTCGTACCAAGCTCTGGGTGCTTGTTTCAGACCGTAAAGGGCTTTTTTGAGTCTGTAGACATAGTCAGTCTTCCTTGGTTCTTCGAAACCAGGTGGTTGTTCCACATATACTTGTTCTTTGATATATCCATTTAGGAAGGCACTTTTCACGTCCATCTGAAACAATTTAAAGTTATGGAAACAAGCATAAGCTAATAATAGCCTAATGGCTTCTAACTTGGCAACTGGTGCATATGTTTCATTATAATCTATGCCATCTTCTTGAGAATAGCCTTTCGCTATCAGTCTTGCTTTGTTTCTTGTGACTTTCCCTTTGTCATCCAGTTTATTTCTGAATACCCATTTTGTTTTAATTACTGGATGATTTTTGGGTCTCGGCACAAGCTCCCATACTTTATTGATCTGAACTGCTGAAGTTCCTCCTGCATGGTTTCGATCCAGCTTTCATTTCATCAACTTCTTTTGGTTCTATTTCTGATAAGGGCAAAATCAGCATTCACCTTCAGAAGCAGCAGCCAAATTATTCCTGCCCAGCCCTTTCCAGTGTGATATAAAGATTGAAATCAAGAAAATGGAATTGGGACATGATTTTCTCTCGGACACAATTTAGGTACGCTAGAAAATCCTATATCTTGATTATAATAAAGCATTATCTCAGAGCTACTAAGCTCGAACCGACAATAACGATCTTCAAATCAGAATCGAAAACTCACTTCTCGTTGAGGTTTGAATCACCGAAAGGATTTGAAGCATTGGAATAACCAGCGACTGATTGTGACTTCAACTTCTTCGCAACACGCATCGCCTGAATAATTACACCGAGAAAAGGCTGATGATCAATTACAGAGCAAAACAACGAAAATCGAATCGATCAAAGACCAATACTGCTCGCAAAGCACGTACCTTTTTCTGAGCCCTCTTCGCTTTGTACGCCTCGATTTCTTCCCCTGTAATAACCCTCGAGCTGCGCTTGCCCTCGCTTCCCCTGCCGCCGCTGCCATCTGAGTCATCACGACGACTAGAGCTCCTGCGGCGGCTACGGCGACTGCTCCTGCTGCTGCCGCTCCTCTCTCGGCGCTTGCCGGAGCTCCGCGACGGCGACGAGTGATCGCTTTCGGGCTGCGAGGGCTCCGAATCGTCGGATCTTGCCCTTCTTCTATTTCGATTCGGGTTCCTCTCCGCAGAAGAAGAAGATGCATCTTTCTTGCTTCTATCCGACCCCATCGCTACTTCCCGCGAACAGACCCGCGGTAGAGTTTTAGGGGTTCAGGCGTACGGCAGAGAGGCGACTAAGATTAGAATTTGGAGATGGGAAGGCGACAGAAACGTAATTTTGTATCTCTAGCTGATTTCATTTTGGGGAAAATTCCGAATAACGTATGAATTGCCTTTATTTTCTCAAATAAAGGATCTAAAGTAAATATTTTTTTAAATAAAAAATCTAAAATGCCCTCATTTTTTCCGAATAAAGGTATGAAGTGACTATAATAATTTCAAATAAGGACCTAATCTCGTTAGTCGACCAAATATTGCAGCCAGTCAAGATATTTTCGTCCAATAATAATTTTAACATAAATTTTAGTTAAATTAAATTTTAAAAAAAATTAAAAAAATAAGAAATACAAGCAACCCCCAGCCTATGTTTGCTACCCCATTGCCGATGTGGCGGTGACAATGGCTAGTAGGGTCGCCGCGCCTCAGCGGAGCAAGGGTCGTCGCCCTCTCCCAATTCTAACAACGCTCTCGCCTCTAGTGGGTGAGGATCGTTAGCTCAGTGGTCGTTAGCCCTCTCTAAGGTGCCGGCGACCCCATCGGTGATAGGGCGGCGGCCACAAGCCGAGCTTGAGTGTTTCCTTTTTGTAAGTATAGCCTTTTTATCTTTTTGGAGTTTGTTTTTTTTTATGAAAAGAAAAAAACATAAAAGGAAAAAGAAAGAAAAAATAAAAAAAATAAATGACGAAAATGCCCTTGACCCCGGTGAGGTTAGCCCTTTTTTGAGACTCAAAGTTCACTTCAAGCCCTTTTTTAAGAAAACGATAGCACTTTAGGCCTTTATTTGAAAACAAGGTCCACTTCATACACTTATTTGAGAAAATGATAACACTTCATGCCCTTATTTAGAATTTTACCTAAATATCACCAAAAAACTTTAAATTATATCCAAGGAGACACAAATATCCTAACCTTTTTTCATGTCATCAAAAACCCTAAAGTTGTTGATTATGATACGAATACCCTTAACATTTTTTGGTGTCTCGAAAAAATTCAAATTGATACATGTATGACATATATACATTCTATTACAGTTCTATCTAGAGTATTTGTCAAACTAATATAAATTCAGGATTTTTTATGATATAATTTTTTTTGGTTATTTACGTCACTATGTACAAGTTTAGGAAATTCATGGTATTTGTGACAGAAGTTAGGATATTTTGTGGGATTGACCTTGAATTACAAAATGCAAAAGGGAAAAGGATTCATTAGTGTCACAAGCGTCAACAAATTTTTCATTTTCGTTGCCCTGTCACTTTTGTCGTCCGTATATTATTATTTTTATATGGTTTTGTGAAAAATAAAATCAATTCAATTATTACACTAAAAGTGGAAAGGACCGGGGAATTGCAGAAAAAAATCATAATTCCTTTGATATAGAAATAACACCAATATAATTTATCTTAACTTACACAAGTTGAAATTATTTTATACAGAGTTAATATTATGGAAAACCCAAAAATGGTACACGTGCAACAAATTTACCCAAAATTAATTTTTTAACCACTAAAAATCCCAAATTACCATACACTAATTTTTTTACTACAAAAAATCCTAAACTGGTCAATTTGTAACAAATTTACCATTCGTTAAAATAGATTAATAAAAAAAATCCAAACTAATACATATGTGACAAACGGAGAATAAGACCTCAAACGGGTACATCCGTCAACTAACACGTGTCATTTAACCAAACAATTTGACAGTAAAATTTAACAGAAACTAACGAAAGATAAATTTGTCAAAGGTGTACCGGTTTAGGATTTTTTGTGGTAAAAAAAATTAATTTGGGGTAAATTTATCATATGTGTATCAGTTTGAGATTTTTTGTGATATTAACCATTTTATATAAATAAAATTAATAGAGCTTGTGGATCTATGAAAGATCGTGAAGTAAAGGATATAAGCCACGTAACTCCTATCCGAATGAGAGCAAAATGTTGTTCATCATGGAAAACCAATATAATTTATCATAATTCCTTTGATATAGAAATAACACCAATATAATTTATCTTAACTTACACAAGTTGAAATTATTTTATATAGAGTTAATATCACGAAAAACCCCAAAATGATACACTTGTGACAAATTTACCCCAAATTAATTTTTTAACCACTAAAAATCTCAAATTGATATACATGTGATAAATTTACCACACACTAATTTTTTTACTACCAAAAATCCTAAACTAGTACATTTGTAACAAATTTACCATCCGTTAAAATAGATTAATAAAAAAAAATCCAAACTAGTACACATGTGACAAACGGAGGATAAGACCTCAAACGAGTATATCTGTCAACTAACACGTGTCATTTAACCAAGCAATTTGACAGTAAAATTTAACAGAAACTAGCGAAAGATAAATTTGTCAAAGGTGTACTAGTTTAGGCTTTTTGTGGTAAAAAAATTAGTTTGGGGTAAATTTCACACATGTGTATTAGTTTGGGGTTTTTGATGATATTAGCCATTTTATATAAATAAAATTAATAGAGCTTGTGGATCTATGAAAGATCGTGAAGTAAAGGATATAAGCCATGTAACTCCCATCCGAATGAGAGCCAAATGTTGTTCATCATGCATCCAAGTCAATTATATATAAAATAAATTGCCGAAAGATTTTTCCATTTTCTTCCAAAAAGACACATATTCATAAAAAGCTAATAATAAGTGATCAATGGAATGGACTTACTGATTAAGAAATTTATTTTCTTTGATAAAAACTACTAAACTCATTGGAGAGTTCGCATCATTATCATTCAATTACCATTTCTTTGATATGGATCAACTTTGACTTCATATTAAGAAAAGATCGAGATATGAGAAAAGGAAGAGCGTAAGGCAAGGAGTTTGACAATTTTGTTTTGGGTTAATATCACAAAAAAAAACTCCAAATTGGTACACTCATAACAAATTTATCCGAAACTAATTTTTTGACAACAAAAAACCCCAAACTAGTACACCTGTGACAAATTTACCTAAAACTAATTTTTTAGCCAACAAAAATCAAAAAATGGTACACCCGTGATAAATTTACCTAAAACTAATTTTTTAGCCACAAAAAACCCAAAAATGGTACACCCGTGACAAATTTATCCTAAACTAATTTTTTGACCATAAAAAATCCCAAATTGGTATACATGTCACAAATTTACCAAAACTAATTTCTTTTATCATAAAAAACCCAAAACTGATAATTCTATGAGAAATTTACTCTCTGTTAGTGGACCAATTTGGGTTTTTCGTGGTATTTACCCTATGGATTTTCACGTGGACTTGCCACGTCGCCATATGTTATCGACATCTGCAAATTTAACGGTAAAAATTGAAAAAAGCTAACGCATGATAAATTTGTCATAGATGCACCAATTTGGGGCTTTTGATGGTCAGAAAATTAATTTTAGATAAAATTGTCACAGGTGTATCGATTTGAAATTTTTTATAGTCGAAAAATTAGTTTTGATAAATTTATCACATGTGTACCAGTTTGTCATTTTTCGTGGTCAAAAAATTAGTTTGGAGCAAATTTTTCATAAGTGTACAAGTTTTGGATGTTTCGTGGTATTAACCCTTTTGTTTAAGAACGAAGAAAGCTCTAAAAGGTTGTCTTCATTTTGAGAGGGAACTATAAGTCGGTGAATATCAATATGTTCGAATTTAATTTTTCCATATTGAAAAGAAAATAGTTCATGTGTTAATTTTACTTTGGGTTAATACCACGAAAAATCTAAACGATACACTTGTGACAAATTTACCCAAACAAATTTTTTAACTACAAAAAACTCAAAACTTGTACATATGTGACAAATTTACCCTCCGTTAAATTGGATTAATACAACAAAAACTATAAATTGGTAAATCTGTGACAAATAGAGAGGTAAACCCTAACCTGGTACACCTGTCAACTGCCATGTATTATTCAACTCGGCAATTTGGTAGTAAAATTTAATGAAAACTGATAGGAAGTAAATTCGTTATAAATATACCAATTTGAGATTTTTCGTGATATTAACACTTTTACTTTTAACCCACTTTCTCAACCTTTGCTCAACCTTCACCCTTTTCTTTATATTTTCTATTTTTGCCGGGTCCAGCCACTTTCTTTTCCCTTTGGTGGGCCCATCCGCCACCACCTTTTGGAGAAAAGTCACTTGTGGATACGTAGACTTAGTCTTGATGTCTCAGGGCTCGAATAATAATATTTTTTCCGAGAAATTAATTTTTGACCATTCCTTGGGCAAATTTATGAGTAAAAATACGTATTTAATAACGACACAAAATTTCTATTTTCGAAATAGAAACTCGTTTGTTAATAATACAAAATTTCTCCCTCCACGGTAGCCAGCCAGTGAGAGGTGATCGGCGTTGGGTGATAGTGGGCAAGTGAAGGGAGTGAGCGGCAGCGGAGGATGGCGTCGAGAGGCAGTTGGTGTTGGGCGGCGATAGTAGACGGTAGAGGGTGGCGGCGGAGGACGGCAGGTGGTCGATGAGCGGGGGGTGAAGAACTACGGCTGGCGGCGGGAGGCGGTCGGCAAGTTGCGAGCGGCGGGCGGCGGCAGGCGGGCGGCCAGCCAGCTAGTAGCCAGGGCAAGCGATAAGAAATTTTTTTATTTCTCATTTTTTTCTAGAAATAGAAAAGGAGAAAATTTTTATTTATCATTTCTATTCCAAATCTATTTTTGAAATGAAAATGTGTTCTAGAAATGGATTTGTGTTCCGGACCTATTTCGGAAACAAAAAAAATAAAAAAATAGAGAAATAGAATGCTTATCATACGCACCTTAAAATAATCCATAATCACTTATTTACTTCTTCTTTTTTCTTTTGGTATTTGACCGTAGTTGTTTGGGGCCGGTCGGTCTGCCTTGCACCTATGCGTAGTTTGGATAGAATGATATGTTGGTAGAGAAATGATTTAAATAATAAAGAATAACAAAATTGAAGATAAAGCAAACGAAATGAGAAAATAACAATTAAAAAAAGATGTTGTGTCAGTGCCTCCATTATATCAAAGAAGTTCAGAGAGAAAAAAAAAAACATAATTATCTCTTGAAACCACGCTAATCCTCTCCCGTTTTGAGCAATTTGGATAAGAATCGGATTCTCCTTTGTTCGACGTAAAAACTCACTAAAATTAAGCCATAGAAAGGAAAGAGACACCACTCTAGATCCACTTTTATTTCTTGTCGATAAGCAATATAACTCGACAAGATTTCTCATAAATTACTCGTTCAAATCTCTTTAAATCTCTTTGATGAAAAAAAGGTTAACCAGTAGTATGCATATAAAGAAAACGGGCAAGTTGTTTGATAAAGTAACGGAGAGTATGGAATGGGAATAGACAGTTAATTGATACTTGAGATTGGAAAGAATGGAGTAGTGTATTGTTAGGGATTACACCCACCTAAATTATAGTGAATTCTTTAATATATAATAATATTAATTCGAACAGACATAACATAATCAAAATCCATTATCATATCCGCAGAATTAGAATTTGTAAAAGTGCAATATGATCTTTTAATAATTAATGAATATTTAACGAATTTCTAAAATAAAATCCACGAGAAGAATTTAGTATGGATGAGCAAGAGCGCTAGCGAAAGGTGATTGGTGTGGCCTATCTCTTTTGTTTTCGCAAAATAATAAAATGTCCCATAAAATAAAATATTTAGCAATACGGAGGTTGACTTTGTTGACTCTCGTTTGAGAAAATTTTTAATCTAAATATTAAGGATAATTATACAAACAGTTCATAAATTTTGACCTAATATGTAACATAGCCTCTGAACTTTAACCTAATATTTAATGTGATTTATGAACTTTCAATTTATTCAATGTGGTCATGTTCAATGTAGTTTCTGAACTATATAAAAATGTTTTATTTGAATTAATGAAAGGACTATATTAAACATTTTCATATAGTTCAGAAACTAAATTGAACATGTAGCAAAAATTTAGGGACTATATTGAATAAATTAAAAATTTAGGGATCATATTATATATTGAGTTAAAGGTCAGAGATCATATTGAACACATTAGAAGTTTAGGGACCGCATTACATATTGGGTCAAAGTTCATAAATTATATTGAATAAATGGTTAATATCACGAAAAATCCTAAACTGGTACAATTGTGACAATTTTACTCCAAACTATTTTTTTGACCACAAAAAATCCCAAACTGGTACATTTATGACAAATTTACCCCGAACTATTTTTTCGACCACAAAAAACCCCGAACTGGTATACTTGTGACAATTTTACCCTAACTAATTTTTTAATATTATTTTTAGGGTTAATACCATGAAAAACTCTAAATTGGTACACTTGTGACAATTTACCCCGAACTTTTTTTTAGCATAAAAAACCCCAAACTGATATATTTGTGATAATTTTACCCCGAACTGGTACACTTGTGATAATTTTACCCCGAACATACCATAAAAAACCCCAAACTGTACACCTGTGATAATTTTACCCCGAACTATTTTTTTTTTACCACCAAAAATCCCAAACTGGTACACCCGTGACAATTTTACCCCGAACTAATTTTTTAATGTTATTTTTATTTTTTTGAAATTTTTTATTAATTTTTTATTTTATTTTATGTTTCTTTTTTTTCCTTCACCTTCAACCTCTGGCCGGTCTCCGAATCGGCGACCGGCGATTGGCCAAAGGCAGAAGCCGGCGAGGTCGGCCCTGTCGACCGCTGGCGAGGCTCGACCTCGCCGTTGTGGGGCGAGGCCAACCTCTCCAGTTGCCGGCGAGTTCAAGCCTTGCCAGATCTGAAGATGAAGATGAAGGAAAAAAAAGAATAAATAAATAAAAAATTTCGAAAAAAAAAAAATTCGAAAAAATATTAAAAAATTAGTTCGGGGTAAAATTGTCATAGATGTACCAGTTTGGGGATTTTGGTGGTAAAAAAAATAGTTTGGGGTAAATTTATCATAGGTGTACCAGTTTGGGGTTTTTTGTCATTAGTTCAGGGTAAAATTGTCACAGGTGTACCAGTTTGGGGTGAAATTATCACAGGTGTACCAGTTTGGGATTTTTTATGGTATGCTCAGGATAAAATTATCAAAGGTATACCAGTTCGAGGTTAAATTGTCACGGGTGTACCAATTTGGGATTTTTTATGGTAAAAAAGAAATTCAGGGTAAAATTGTCACTAGTGTACCAGTTTGGGGTTTTTTCTCATGTTAACCCTTATTTTTATTATTTCGAATTTTTTATTAATTTTTTTCTTTTCTTTTTTTCCTTAATATTCTTCATCTTCAACCTCTGGCCGGTCGCCGGTCCGGCGACCGGCCAGAGGCGGAAGCCGGCGAGGGCTCGTCCCCGTCGGCCACTGACGAGGTCGGCCTCGCCCAGCACCGGCGAGGTCGAGCCTTGCCAGCGGCCGGCAGGGCCGACCTCTCCGTTGGCGAGGCCGACCTCGCCGTTCTGCAGGCGAGCCCGGCCTCGCCGGCGTTAGGCGGGCCGACCTCGTAGCGGCGGCGGGGCCGACCTCGCGCAGATTGCGGCGCGGCGGCCTCACCGGCCGTCGGCGGGGCCGACCTCGCCGGCTTCCGCCTATGGCCGGTTGCCGGTTGCCGGTTCGGCGATAGGCCAGTGGTTGAAAATGAAGAATATTAAAGAAAAAAATAAAAAAAAAATTAATAAAAAATTCGAAATAATAAAAATAATATTAAAAAATTAGTTAGGGTAAAATTGTCACAAATATACCGGTTCGGGATTTTTTGTTATCAAAAAAATAATTCGAGATAAATTTATCATAAATATACCAATTTGAAGTTTTTTGTGATTAAAAAAATAATTTAGGGTAAAATTATTACAACTATACCAGTTTAGGGTTTTTCCTTATATTAACCCTATATTTAATTCCTCGCTTTTGCGGATGCCGCACGCGGAGCCCTCTCTACTGTCCCCAACTCGATACATTAACGGCCTCGACGCCGATCCCAGCTAGCTGCAATGGCCGACGCAAACTCCGTTCCTACCGCGGCGGCCGAGAGCAAGCCTCCGGCGACCGAGAGCAAGCCGCCGGCGACCGACAGCAAGCCTCCGGCAACCGAGACGAGGCGGTCGTGGGGCGACGAGGTGGACGACGAGGCGGAGGAGGAGCAGAGTGCGGCGGCCACGACATCGGCGGATAAAGCGGGAGCGGATCTGGATTTCGCCTCCCTGACCATCGACGAGAGCAAGAAGATCAACAAGTTCCTCGACGAACCCGAGGATTCCAACATCAGAGCGGTGATCTGTCCATCCTGCGCTAGGGTTTCCTAGGAGCTAGAAAATCCAAACTCGTTTTGCTGTCTCGTTAGGTTTCCATACGCTCTGAATCGATCTTAATCGGTGCAGGTTACATCTGGCGATACGCCATATACATCAGCAAGTAGTTTCGAGGATTTGAATCTGTCGCCGGAGCTCCTGAAGGGTTTATACGTTGATATGAAATTTCAGAAGCCCAGTAAAATCCAGGCTATCAGCCTGCCTATGATTTTGATCCCTCCGTACAAAAATCTCATTGCTCAGGCACATAATGGTTCCGGCAAGACCACTTGTTTCGTGCTTGGAATGTTGAGCCGAGTTGATCCAAAATTGGAAGCTCCTCAAGCTCTCTGTATTTGCCCCACGCGAGAACTGGCAATTCAGGTTAGATTGATGGGATCACCACATTTTCTGACTGGCTCTGCATATGAACTCTTAACAAATTTGACCGATCCGTCGTGAGAAAGATATTGACTATTTTTTCAGTCATTTGACCGATCTCTCAGACAAGACGTTTCTTTTACTGGCCTTTAAGAATCCGGATGATATTTTCAGTGCGTTCTATATGACTAGCATAGCAAATAGAATTTGAGGTTTCAGCCGACTTTCTGATCGCATTTTGTCAGTTCAATGAAGTTATGTATCTTTTGTATGTACTGACACAAGCTGTGATCAATTCTTGCAGAACATGGAAGTCTTGCAGAAAATGGGAAAGTACACAGGAATACTTGCAGAGGCTGCAGTGCCTGTGCTGATGGATAGCACTAACTGTATGCGGATTACCAAACGGGCACCTGTTACTGCACAAATTGTTGTAGGCACCCCTGGAACAATCAAGAGATGGATGTCATCAAAGAAACTGGGTGCACGTTACATAAAGATTCTTGTATTTGATGAGGCCGATCATATGTTGGCAGAGGTAGTCAGCCTCCAAAACTAGCTTGTTGCATTGCAGTTGGCTTCTTTTCCTTTTTATTCTTGTCTCTGGTAGCTATTCTCGCTCCCTTGGTAGCTATTCTGCTCATTTCATTTGGAGTCTACTGAACTAGTGGAGTTCCGGCGGAGTAATTGATGTATTTGTGCCCTAATGGTATTGGCCTGCATTTCTGTCATTCCTCGTTGCTGATAAATGAACAGAATTTTGTTCTCTTCTATCAGCATTAGCTGAGCGGCATAATGTTCTCTCTTTTTCCCCCCTAGTTTCTTTTCTTTTGTGTGTGTCAGCCCAAGCGTGGGGGTGGTGGTTGTGAAAGCAAGCGTTGGGAAACTAATCAGCTTGTTCCACCCCCAGCATGCGACATACGAAATCTCAAATAGAATGAAGAGAGGAGACGGCATGGCCAAACTAGGTTGGACAGAATGTATTCTATTAACAGTGCCATCTTGTGTCCTCTTAGTTTCTTGTAGGATAGAAAATCTTCTTAGGCTAATTTTATTTTTCATGCACATTTTTGTTCTCTTGTTCAAAGATTACGTTGAGCTTGATCCTGTGGTAATAACATGATGCCTTGTCTTATACTCTCTTCTAAAGCATTACGATTCCTGTACTGGAAATCTTTAATTTCACAATGCCGCATTAGATTCTTATTTCAGATCCATATTTTCCCCACAAGATTTAGTGGAAAATTTTACTCTGTGGAAAATGTCTTTTTTTATTTTATTTTCCCTGTATAGTTTTTCTTTCTGGTTTGTTGGTTTGTGATCCTGTTTTAAGCTATCATGCTCTTTCAATTTATCATTGGCTCAAAGTTCTATCCATCAGCTGCTAATCAATAAAGTCATGGCGATTCTTGTGCTAATATCATCCAACGTTTTCTTATACCTTCCCATGTAGTTTTAGCTGTAACTTTTATGAACTTATCATTTAATAGTCATGTTAGTGTTCCTCTTTTACTGGAGATCAGGTTTATATTTAATCTGTGGTTGAATGCAGGATGGGTTTAGGGATAACTCTTTGAGGATAATGAAGGACATCGAAAGGGCCAATGCCAGCTTCCAGGTATATTCCTGAGTTTAATTTGTAAAATCATTCATAGACTTTATCTAGGGGTGGTATTCCTGGAAGTTAGTTGCTAATATCATATGAAGGTGAAGTCACATATACATTTGGACGATCAGTTTGATTTTGAAGTACAAGTGTGGAATAATAGTTCCCCAAGGTTTATCAAGTTTTTCAAATTGTAGTTAGAAGCATATGAAAACATACTTGCATCAATGAGGAAATCTTTTGGCAGTTTCTGTTGTCTTATTCTCTAATGCATGTCCTTTGGGGCAACTGGGACGAAATAGATGGAAGGAAGAGCCAATGCATTATATCTGACCGTACGGCAGAGCTAATTCTCTCAGTGCTCAGTCTCAGACAGACTCGGTTATTCGTTTCTTTTTCCATTCTTGGTTTTTACTGTCTGCCATTATGAATCCATGTGGGCTCTAATTTTACTCTCTCTCTCCCTCCCTCTCTCTCCATCCCCCTAAGCAAAAACAAAAAATCTATTCTTTTGAAGATTCTATTTCCTGGTGAAGTTTTTCGGTATTAAGAACATGATGAGGCTGTTAATTAATATGTTATATCCTTTCACCAAATGACATGAAATGGAATTGCTTTTTGATAATTTAAAAAAGGGAGGATAGATATAATAGTTTTGGTAAGACTAGTGTGCAAGACACTTTTCACTGGCTTGCTTTGTAATGTCCGCTACTAGACTATGAAATAAATATGGGAACTTAAAAGACCTCTCCAAACTAGGTAAGGAAAAGCTATCATGTCTGTTTTAGTAATAATGCTACCATCCCATTTCTGATTATTCAAGCTTCAACCAGATTGTCCTCTCCTTCGATTTGAATAGGTCCCACTTCTTGTCTTCATTTCCTTTCTTCGCCAAGCTGTAAGCCTGTAATGTCAAATTCCTTTACCACTCACTTGATTTTCTCCATAGTTATAGTGTTATTTGTAATTTTACCTTATCGGATGGTAATGCGTTACTTGACTATCCATTACATACCTTGCTAAGTATGACTTGTCTACATAAAGGATAAGGATTCAAGGATCAGGTTGTTCGATACTGGTATAAAGGGCACAACATAATGCTTTAGAAGAGATGAAGGATTTCTTACAAACTTTTCTACTATCATTACAAATACAAAGCTGTGTTTTTTCCTTCATCTGTTTTCTTTTTATTGTTCTCCTATATTGTTTTGCTTGTTTTTTTGTTTTGGGGGGGGTAAGTTAATTAATTTATAGACAAAGCACAACTACAGTGAAGCGAAGCATTATTTGACTAGAACCATTACCTTCTCTTTTTCTTGTTCTGATTGATGTTTATTAGTTGTAAAGTTGTGATACCCATGCGAGTTAGGCTCTGAGAGTAGAAGAAAGGAGGGGATGGAGAAAGGTGGGTCGTCATGATACAAGGTCACATTAGTAGTCGGTTATAATAATATATAACTTCTAAAGTTATACTTCTCTAGCAATGTTTGTTGGATGCTATTTCTTGTGATCACTACTGTTACAGTGTCTTGTTTCTGTTAAAGAAATGAACTTCATGAGTTGTCTAAATGAGTTAACATGGGTGCATTTTCTAATCAACTATTAGTGCGTGAAATTTAATAGATCTGCTTCCTTGTGTTCCTAGCAATGTGAAAATATTAATGATCTTGTTTTTTGTATACAAGGATTGTAAGATTATATCCAAAAATCTGTCTGAGGAGTAGAAAGGAGTTACTTTGCTTTTTTGGGCATTATCTTTTAGTTATATTTGGACATAGTCAAGAGAATAACTGAGCTAAACAGAGAAACATAAGTCGGAGCTGAGAAAATAAAAAGTTTCATGTTTTCTGATGGTGTGGGGCTTGCTTTTCGTTGGGACAGGCGATACAGAGAAAATTGTTGAAGGAGTTGATGCGCTTTTGCATATACAATTTTCTTTTCTTTTTGTTTTTTTAGAAACCGCATCAACCTGTCCTCTGTTTTTGGGTTTCTAGACACCTGCTAATGTCAGGAAAATGCGCTACTACCTCATTTTGTACTCTGTTGCACTCATTTTGAGCTCTACATTGTAAAACACGCATTATTCATTTTTTTCAGTCTTGGTTCTTTGAAGAATAAATTAGGGGTGTCAAAAAAGCCCGAACTGCCCAACTCGAACTAAATATATTGGGTCTTTTGAGGCCGGGTCTCTTTCTGGTTTGGGTGATATGTATAGAATCGGGTAACGTAAACCGTTCGGTTCGCGAAACACATTAAAATACCCTACAGTCTCTCGGTTCCAGATCGTGAAGCTCTCTACTTTTGCTTCCAAATCCATCTAATCCAAGATCTCAAAATCTTGATCTAAGCAGAAGCAAACAACACAACTTGTTGCTCTTTCAAATTTTCCTTCCAGCTAAATCACACTCATGCCCTCAAAATCCGAATTCTATCAGAGTAGCTAAATCATAATGTTTCAATGTTATGCAGAATTGGCTTAGAAAGTAGTATGGGAAGGAATAATTTTCTCTTGAATTGCCATGCTTTTCTTCTTTTCTTTTTCTCATTCTGGTTATATTGATTACTCAAAGGTTGGTTATTTTGTTCCAGGTCCTTTTGTTTTCTGCCACATTCGATGACAAGGCGAAGAATTTTGTAACAAGAGTAGTGAAAGATTACAATCAGCTTTTCGTGAAGAAAGAAGAACTATCCTTAGAGTCAGTAAAGCAGTACAAGGTGCATTGCCCTGATGAACCTTCCAAGGTTTTAGTGATCAGAGATAGAATTTTTGAATTAGGAGAGAATCTGGGACAGACAATAATATTTGTTCGCACCAGACATAGTGCAAGAAATTTGCATGAGACACTTGTTAGTTTTGGCTATGAAGTTACCACTATCCAAGGTGCTCTTAGGCAGGAAGACAGAGACAAGATTGTCAAAGAATTTAGAGATGGTTTGACACAGGTTCTCATATCAACTGACCTTCTGGCTCGAGGCTTTGATCAACAGCAGGTACTGCTTTCATTATACTTTTCCATTATCCGAAGTTCATTGGTCTCATCTTAGCTTAAGGGAATGCTACTTTATCTTTGTTATTTTGTAATATGTAGACATGGTGTGATGGCTACCTGTAGGTCAATTTGGTGATCAATTATGATCTTCCTGTAAAGCATAATAATCCGTCGGATCCTGATTGTGAGGTATACTTGCACAGAATTGGAAGGGCGGGGCGTTTTGGGCGCAAAGGTTTGTTTCCTGATTTAAGATTTGCTCCAACTTTTACATGTTTCTTTGGTGGTTGTTTTTCTCATGAAGACTATATGTATAGTATTACGTTGAATAGATTGGTAGGCCTAGTATTTCACATTCTTATGTTGTCTATCCTCTCTAAGCCTAGTTAAGGTTGATTTCCTCTTTTCATAAAATGAGGGTTTAAGAGAAATCTTATGATTTTCTTTTCTTATCCTCATAACATACCATTTAATCCAGATTGCCACGTGGACAGTGTGTCCCTCTAATTTTGACCAAAGAAAAAGTTTTCCTCTGATCAAAACTTGGATCCCCTACTTGTTTTCCAAAACTCAATGCAGTGAAGTTGCTCTTTAACTGCATGCTATGAGCTAACTATTTAGCAAGATTTGACCCTTGAATTGGTTTGAAATCCTTTGAAACTTACTCTGTCGTAGCAGCTCTCATTGGTAAAGTGCCCATACTTTCCCGCATTGACAAGACAGTTTTCAAGTACAAAAAGAACATACTATCGACTTTGACATGGTAGATGCAGGTTGTAGGTTTTCTTACCTTTCTTGCTCATCTTGGAGCCAAACTTGCAAGGATGACTGTGGTATCGACTTCAATGTAACTTTCCTGCTCCTAATAAAGAACAAAATTGACTCAACCTTAGAAAGAGAAAGAAAGAGCAAGTCTCAGGTTCTCTTTGGGTATTGACCTTGATGGGGTAATCATCCCCTATCAATACTAAGCTTCTTATGTATCTACTTATTCATTGAGATAACACTTGCCTGAGCCAAGAGTTGTTGAAGTGGGCGAGCTTTGTCCAAATCGCACAGACAATGTGCTCTATTTCTAAATAATATCTACTGCATTCTGGACCACTTTATCCATTCTCTGTATTTCTTGAACTGAGATGTTGATATATACAGCGATGATGTTGCAAAGCAGGGTGTTTTTTCCCCTCCAACCACTGGTGTTGGTTGATGATTTCTGTTATTTGTGATATAAGTTGTGGCTGTTGGAAATCGCATTTCCTCATTATGTCTGATGCATGCATACAAATCGTTTGTACTCTGCTTTCTGTGCATGCACTCTGCTCATAAAGAGTGCTTTTGGCATATATTATTGTTGCCTAGTTCGCCATACAAAAGTGTCCTGATGACAAGTAGTGTTGCTTTATCATCAGGAGCAGTGTTCAACTTGCTATGCAGTGAAAGGGACATGGCACTCATGGCTAAGATTGAAAATCATTTTGCCTCTAGAGTTCCTGAGGTGAGTAATTTGACAAATCTTACAATCTTTACTCGTTTTATTGATCATTTTGCATTATCATTAAGGGTTATTTGTGGTGTGTTTCACAGAACTAAATTTACTCGTTTAATGGAAATTCTGCTAATCTTTTACTCATCTCTGGGTTTTTAGTTTCAGAAGGAAAATTGGTCGCTGGAAATTGTTATTATGGTCAACTAAAAATGGACAATATATCTGTGTTCATCTAAAGAAAAGGAAATGGTTTAAAGGAACTCGTTGACACTGTCTGCCACTATCATCAACCACCCTGAGTACCTCGTATTTGCCATGTTCAACCACTGTCACTACCAGTTGATCACCGCCAGCATGGCACTGCTATGACTGTTGCCGACTACCACATATTTCAGTTGTCCTGTCCATCATCACCACTGTTACGCTGTCAACTTATGGAAATCAATTGTCAAGATTGCAAAAAATTGTGTTGTGAATTTCTTTAGAAGCAATATCAGGGAAAACCTCCCTCTGACTGCAAAACCAATTTACACGAAGCGAAACAGAACTTGCATATTATTGACTGCTTCTGCTATGTTGTTTTCCTTGCAGGTTACACCATGGAATAGCGAGGAGGCATTTAAGAAGGCACTTCAGGCAGCTGGTTTGCTGTGACGATGATGCTATTTTTGTGTCGTGTGACGATGTTAAGCGAGTTCTATGAGCTGGTGTCGTCAAGGTGTCTGCTGTTCTATGAGAAGATGTAGTGTTCGGTCAGCTGCTACTATCATGGCGGTTTTTAGTTGGGATAATTACTTTGAAGAAGTTGTAGTCGGGATTAATTATTTCCAGTGAATGTGCAGCCATACGAGTCAGATTTTTTGTGGGCATCGGGGCATTTTCCGCAATGGCTCTGTGGATGCATTGTTTTGAATTTGGAGCTTGAAGCCAAGTGGAGTTTGCTGTGACCTCTATGTAAGGAGTTGGCTAAGTGAATTGCAAATGGTAAAGAAACTATCGATGTTTTAGATATGATTATAAGAGAGATTGTGTGGGACCTCGAACCTCCATGTTACCCAACGAAGCACTGAAAGTGACGGTCATTCGGATGAGTATCGTATACCGTAATAATGTTGCAAAAGCAATTCTTGTTTTGTTACACTGATTTTCGGGGTGTGGATATCGATGGTGAATATAACTTCAGAAAAGTCAAAGCTTTACCATCAGGAACTTAGAACGTCGATGTGCTGTTGTAATAAAAAAAATGTTCTTACCCATATAAATTCCCAAAAGCTGATACACCAATCTTGTTGAGAGAGTTAAATCTGCATTTATCCAAAAAGAAAGTATCGTCCGAACAATGGTTCATCTAAATGGTTGCGTTAGTTAGTATCGTTGAACGTTGGTTCTTTCTTTATGAAGACTGATGTCATTTGACTGGGTCATATGGCAGAGGGGTTTTCCCCAACGCCAATCGTCAGTAGTAATTTAAACATAAAGGAGATGAGAGAAGAATGGTTTTGTTATGTGAGAATGGAGTGCACGTTCAAGTAGTAGTGGTCCTCCATGAATTAATCGTTCTGTGGAAAATGGCCCTGTGTCTGCCATCTATATCTCTCTATGCACACTTCGAGGGTTTCATCAGGTCTCTTGCGGAGAGAGAGAGATGGGGATGGGAACGGCGGTGTTGGTGATTATGGCACTGCTTGTGGTGAGGATGGGAGGCGCCGATTCAGTTTCGGCTTGGGAGGACGGTAAGGTGATTCACGTCGGTGGAAGAGTGCTCTGCCAGGATTGCACCAAGGGCTACGATGAATGGGTTCGGGGTGGACATCCTATTAAAGGTGTGTCTCTCTCTCGATCTCGACATTGAATTAAGCTATTCGCTTGTAGCTCGAACTTTCGAGTTTGATAACTAGCTCTGCCTTTTTTCGGGTCGAGCTCGAGCTCGACAATACTCAACCCGACAAGCTTGCAAGACAAATTGAGTTTTTATATTTTTTAAAAAAATTCAATAATTGGCAAAATAGACACGAAAATCCGTAAGCTTTACTTAGTATGAACTTATAATGTTCGAGGTCGAGCTCGGCTTGAGTTTATTTACAAATTGACCGTAATCGAGTCGAGTAGAGCATCTTGATTTGGTAGTCGAGTCGAGCTCAAGCACTTGCACAGGTTAATAGTCGTTCAAGTTTCAAACCCCAAGTATGCTCGAGTCGAGCTTGAGCTTAGAAATGGGGCAGCTCGACGGGGCCAATTACACCCCTATGCACTCCTGTTCTCTATCAATTTTCTTCTTTCTTTCCCTCTTGCGGTGGAACGAGCGTATTCAATGTAATTGAAGGCACCAAAGAAGAGAATCACTTACTATGATGTCACTCTCGCACCGTCATGACAAAATGTCCAATGAGATTTAATCACATTTCAATTCAGCGATGTAAAAGGGGGGGAAGTAATGTGAATTGCAGGAGCCAAGGTCTCACTCACTTGCATGGACCAAAGGCACAGAGTGATATTCTATGGAAGCGATGACACCGATGGAGCCGGCCAATTCTACATGATCGTGAACAAGTACATCAACGGAAAGCAACTCAATGAGAAACTGTGCTCCGTGAGGCTCGTGTCGTCCCCGGACCCGACGTGCGCCGTTGCCACCGACTTTGCCGGCGGATGCCGAGGAGTCGAACTCAGCCGCCCCAGCTCCGTGTACCGCAAAGTCATTAAGTACACTGTTGGACCGCTGTATTACACATCTCCCATGTGTGAGAAACCTGAAATTGAATGAGAATGGAGTTGCCAAGTGACATCGGGCGAAGAAGTTGCCCATGTTTCTTCCTCCTCGTGTTCCGACGTCTTGTAACATCAGATCAATTGCTACTGCTTCATCTATCCTGATATTCCTGAAAACTGGTGACACTTTTTCTTTCTCGTTCATTTTCTCCTTGTACTAGCGATGGAGGAACCAACAAAGACAGAGAACACTCGAATCTCGGGTAAATTATGTCATTTGACAAAATAACACTCATTGTTATTTGACAAAATAATTATCTCTGAAATCCTTTTTTTCCTTATAAAAGTACACATAAATTCTTAAATGTCTTTGCACGAAACGCAATCAAGTTCTAAATAATTTGGAATTTGTGCAAGGGTTTGCCGCTAGCGGCAAGGATATCAGGTGATATGACTTTCGGACCATTTGAATTTCTGACTACTAATTGAAACTAAAACTCAATTTTTATGCAAAGTCGAGTAAAAATCCAATATAAATAAAAAAAACCTAAATTTTGATTTCCAATCTCAATTTGAACCAAAAAAAGAAAATCAATCAAAGCTTTTTCGCATACACCGCAATTCGTTTGAGCAATAAAAACCATGAGTTTAATTTCTACAAGATAATCACAACAATCAACAAATTTGAAATACTAATTTCTCGTTGTTGAAACCCTATAGATTCTAAATTCCAATTCTCATTAATCACAAAAAAAAATGATTGAAAAACTAAATCAAACGTTGAACAATGACACGTGCATAATTGCAAGCAGCTTTAATTGCTTAATTGTCATTTGATTGATTTAAGATGATTTAATTCACAATTTGACTGTGAGATTTAATGTTTGACTTGAAACTCGATTTCTCCTTAATTTTATATGAGGCTGTAATTCCGATGATCAGGTGACACCACCTACACACTTAAGACTTGATTGTTCATATTTTAAAATGTCTACAATCTGATTGCATCTTATAAAATTTTTAGAATTTGTTCATACAGTCAAATGGTTTCTCTAATTTGCCCTTTTCTTCTTAAGAATGTCGGTCATTGTTTGCACACTAACTACAATGACAAGTGGGTACGATAAACGTGATAAATAAAAGATGACACGGAAATATGTGAGCAAAGTATTGCACGAATTTAATCCATATATAAAATTGAATTTACAACGTTATATCCTACAAACTTAAGACCTGATTGTTCATATTTTAAAATGTTTACATTTTGATTGCATCTTTTAAAATTTTTAGAATTTGATTATATTGTCAAATGTTTTGCTATAATTTTCTCTTTTCTTCTTAAGAATGTTGTCCTCATTTGCACATTAACTACGATGACAAGTGGAAATATGTGAGCAAGTATTGCACGAATCTAATACGTATATAAAATTGAATTTGCAATAATATATTCGATTGCAATATCTATTTACGTGTCATAATTACATTTGGAAATCGCGTCAATTTGTGTTATTAGAAAATTCTATATTTTCGTTTTTTATTTTATAAGATATTCGTATATTCAATGCTTATCAATTAGTGTTACTTTGGGTTTATCACACATTCGAATTAAAACGTGTAAATTCGTCTCGAAATTACAAACCTGAATTCTCATTATTTTCGATGATCTAAATTTGTGTATATATATATATATATATATATATATATATATATATATATATATATATATTCACATAATAGTTTTTTATACAGAGCATGGTTTATGACCAGTTCGTTTCAAAATTCGACAAAATTAAAAATTACTTTCTACTAGTTTTGCCAAAATAAATTTAAAAAATTATGAAGAGATATATATATATATATATATATATATATATATATATGATTTATGTGTTAATATTTACATGTCATGAAAATCTTAAATGCTTTAAATTTTAAAAAGAATCGAAATGCGTAAGAACTAAATTAGTCTAGAGAAAAGATTGAAAAACAACACAAACACGTCGCCCATGGTGACGTGGCGTCGCTCATCTCCACCCACGTAAACTACTGTAAGATTTGACGGTGTTCCAATTTCTATAGGCTCCGACGTCGGCGGAGCTCGTGGTCCCGCTCGGATATGGCGGGTCGACTCGCGAGGAGGCTCTCGTCCTCGCCGGAACCCTCCTTCCTCGTCTATAGATGCCCGATCGTCGCTTGGTCGGGTCGCGATCCGTGTGGGCCCAGGCGGGCTGCTTCGTCGTCGTCGCCGTCGTCGTCATCGTCTTCGTCTTCGTCTTCACCTCCGTCGCCGGATGGAGCGGCCTCGAAGCCCCAGAAGAAGATTACGGACCGTCTATCGGCCGTGATCGACGCCGTCAATGACCGCAAGCTTCCTCCCGAACTCCGTGGCCGTCGCAACTCCGTCAGGTACGCACGAGATGATCTGAGCGGACGTGGGTCTTTGCGTGAGCGTGTGCAGGGGTTGCTATTAAGCTGTTCCTTTGTTGATTTTGGAGTTGTTTCATTGGGTTGTATGATTTGTATGGTGAATTTTCCGGTTTTTGGGGATGATTGCTTACTGCTTCTTCGGATTGAGCTAGCGTACAATTTCTGCTTTTCTATATCTCTCTCGAGATGTCCATGCGTGCTGGAGTTTGGGCTTTAGTTTGCACGATCTTTCTCTTTTAAGGGAGTAGAAATATGGGTTATCGGTGGCTGAGTTTGGCTGTCACCGGGCATTGCGTTCTATGCATAAGCACTCTGTTTTATCATAATGTGCCTACTCAAATAGGCTTAGTTAGATGCTGCAAAGTAAAAAGCAATTGACTCAGAAGATCAAGCACATGATTGTTCTCCTATAATAATGCTTATACTGAACGATCCGCGGGACGTAATGCTTTTAAGAGAGATTTTTCATTGTTCGTTCCTGTGATTTGGATTGTAACTGCTTATTTGTTGCTGCAGTTGAAGTAGGTAACTGTAAGGAATCCTCGGTGCAGAATTGTAGTCAGGTCGGTTTCCGGATTGGGACTTATGTTGTCTTGACGGTTGCATTGAAGAAGAGAATAGGACGTGTTCCTTGATTTTTGTTTAGCATCTTGATGCACACTCTGTTGCTTGAATAGAAAAAAATTCAAGCTTTTTTAGGGTCGGTTGATGATGTTTTGCGTTACCCTCTTGGCAGATCTGAGACTGATATTGTGAACATAGTGGAGCAAAGAATATGGCATTCGATGGAGGAAGGACATTTTGAGAACTTACCTGGAAAAGGGAAACCCCTTGACCTCAGCATAAATCCGCATGCAGATCCAGCAGAAGACACCTTGTATCGGATTCTTAATAAGAATGGCTGTGCTCCAGAGTGGGTAGAACTTAACAAGGAAATAAGGAGTGCGATGTCCGAGTGGCGGAGAGTGCTAAAGAAAGCATGGATGAGCAGAAGCAATGGGAGTCGATCCGAGTGGGACGACCGCTCGGAGGCTTTGAAAGTGCAAATGCGCGGTATTAATGACAAGGTGAGTCCTTGGGTTGGTGTATTCAATTTGATGGATGCTTTCTTCTGCTTCTAGTATACTACTACTTTTATGGAGCGGAGAAAGTTGGTTGGTGCTGATTTTGTTAACAAGATGGATTTGTTGCGGTTGTGTAGGTCTTTCGGTATAATCTCATTGTGCCCTTTGGACGCCAAATGTTTGGGATGAAGTGGGAGAAAGAATTAGATCGTTTGAACGACGAATGACCTCTCATACAGTTGTAGTATTATAACAATTTTGGAGTCGTACTTTGGAGGTGATGTTATATTTATGAAATGTTATAGTTGTAAAATGGTTTAGTGGAATGCGCTCATCGTATAATTTTGAATTGTTTCTTGATTCCCCGATACGTTTTTTCGCAATACTTGTGTTTTTATTTGGCAAGTGTGATTGTCCTTGGTTAAGCTTTTCATTAAAAGCTTTAAAAGCTGGTGCCATCTTTTGCTTCTGTGTTCTCTACTGATAGAATGGAGGAAATCAAGGAGTGGAAAGATTGGTGAGAGGTGCTTTGGAAAAAGTTTCTGAGACATTTACTTTGAGTGAGAATGAACTTTTCTCAATCCAGGGGTCATACGTTGCAAGTATGTAGCACAAGCTGTGGGAATCGATAGATTACATACACAATTGATATCCAATCAATTAATTGACACTTCTTCACTTCATTGAACAGTGCAAGCTAAAGGACCATTTCAGCTTCTAGTTTTCAGTTACATGAGAATATATTGTTTTGCAATTTTGGCATAGTTTGTAGTAAAGCCTGAGGATAGTCTCACGCTTAAACTTTGCAATGTTGGTGAAGACGCTTTTTGTTGCGGTTGTCAACCCTCATAGTCGCTTTCAGGGTCGTAACACAGTTGTGGTGTGGAATCATCTTTCTTTTTGTTAAGTTATTTCTTTGTATGCAAGAAACATGAATAGACTATTCTCTGGAGTTTGTTATCTTTTCACCATTACCATGTGTTGTTCTTGAGACGGAAAAGTCTACTATTGACGATAGACTCCTTTGAGCTTGCTTGATTTTCAAACTAAGATTTGCTTGGTGACTGGGTGATGCTGCCCACCATTTGTAAGGAAATGCACGGCTGGTCGCTGGGTACCTGCGGAAGAATGGCAAAACCAAGCTGAAAAACTACAGATATCTTCTTGCAGGTTCAGCATCTTGTGTTTTCAAATTTCCCTGTTCTGAGTTCCTATGTATCGAACTGCTTAGGTGGGGGAATGGAGTTTTTGGAAAGTGATAGAAAAAGGAAAAAAATAGTGTCGACTGTCCAGGCTTGTGGAGAACATCCTGTTACAATGCCAAAGTATGTTTTTCTTATTTTGTGGAGCTCAATGTACATCGGTGGCCACGTGGTTTGCTCAGCCCTTTCACGAGAGGTCCCGGGCTCAAACTCGCCCATCGCTGATTTAAGTGGGGACGCTTACGGCGGGATGCCGCGCTAGCCCCCTTCGAGGACTAGTCGGGCATCACCGCCGGTTTGAGCCCTAGCTCGCCGGCCGCGCGGACACCTCGATTATCAAAAAAAAAATGTACATCTAATTATCAGGTATAACTATGTATTTTCTCGCTCGAGTTGGCAGCATTTCGTTTGACGATCACGATGTCCTCGAAAATGGGAACACAGATTTTTTGGCGAAATGATTTCGATTGTTTTTTGTTTTCATAGAGAAGTAAGAAATCATTTAAAAAAAAGATTTTAGAGTTTTCTTAATTAACAAATTTTCAACAAGCTAAAAGCAACTTTAATGTTTCACTATTTTCAAACTGTATTAAGAATTACGACAAGAAAAAAGGAATACTAGAACAAGAAATTTGTGAATATTTTTTTTTATGGAATAGTGGTCTGAGCTACAGTAAGTAAAAGTAACGCTTCTGTTTCTCTATTTTTCTATTCTTCTGTTCCCTGGAACAAAAAAAGAACAAAAATCCGTTTGGTAACGCATTTTATTTTTCTATTTCCTAATAAAAAAGAATGCCAAGAAATAGATTTGGATGCAAATAAGAAGTAAAAAATATACTTCTTTGTTCCCAAAAATAGAAATAGAAATAGAAAGGTCCTGGCCCTCAAGCCGCGACCTCACCTCCTCCTCCATCCTCCATCGTCTGCAAACCGTCTCAAAGCACCGGTCCGGTCCATTCTCGGCGGAAATAAAAAAAATTAATTAAATTATAAAAAATTCAAAAATTCCAAAAATTCATAAAAATCAGAAAAATTCTCAGAAAATCCATAAAAAATCAGAAAAACTTAGAAAACCCATAAAAATTTGCAAAATTACGAAATTGAAAAAATTTAAAAAAATTCATAAAAAGCTTTCGAAAATAAAAAGAGACAATTTGGAAAGTAAAAAGTTTTAATAAACTTTTTCCCAAAAAAATCAAAAATAAAAATTCACATAATGGCTTAGAATAAATTAAAAAATTCCGAAAATTCATAAAAATTAGAAAAATTTCAGAAAAATCCCATAAAAATTAGAAAATTAAAAAATTCCCAAAATTCATATAAATCAGAAAAATTCTCAGAAAATCCATAAAAATCAGAAAAATTCAGAAAACCCTTAAATATTTGCAAAATTCCGAAATTGTAAAATTAAAAAATTTCATAAAAAATTTTCGAAAAATAAAAAGAAACAGATTTAGGGAAAGTAAAAAATTTTAATAAATTTTACCCCAAAAAATATAAAAAATTCACATAATGGCTTAAATACCCGCACCACCCACTTTGAAAATTTTAAATTTTGAGGTGCCCAAGTGGTATTTTTGAAGATTCCTTAGTTTAGGGATTAAAAGGGGTTTTAAACCCCTAAAAGGATTAGACAAACCAATAAACCATGCTTATTGATTTTTTTCACTTATAACTTGTTCTTATAGTTAAATAAAAGATATAGATTTGAATGCAAAAATTGAGAATAGAAATTTTGTGCTACTAAACGCATTTCTTCTTTTTCTATTTCGAATAAAATTTTCATAGCTACCAAACGCATTATTTCGCTTCGTAAACTCTTCCAGGAAATAGAATAGAAAACTATTTCTGAAAAAAATTGTTCCCAAATAAAACGTTACCAAACGCGCCCAGCACCGAATGCATCTTGAGTTACCAAACGTTTCCATAAATTGGAAACCCTGAATCATGCTGGTTTGCATAGATGTGAAAAATCGAGAGGGAGAATATCATTATGAGAAATTTACTTGGTGAAAACAGATTAGAAATATCCTCAGGAATCGAATGCATCTTGAGTGATCCTTTTTGTACTTTTGAAAGAATGTTTCGTAGCTTGAAGTAATCTTCACAACCCGAAAACAATTCCATTGGAGGGATGTGATTGTGAATAAGGACTCACCATGTGCCCAGCACCGAGAATCCAGTAAAAGAAGAGGTTCCTGTAGGATCTCACGAATCCTTTCGTCCCCGTAAAACCTTTTCCACAGTATAGAGGGACCCGGTCCTCACTCAGGAAATTGCTCAGACCGTCCCACCTGCATATGACAAGGCAAGCATGAGGGACCGTTTTCGAAATTAAGAATGGGAGTCAATGTCTATGGGTGTGTTCTGTTGGAAAAGGAGCCATTACTTGAGCTTGTTGACCCATGCTTCTGCTCCTTTTGTTGCACATATGAGATCTAGCTGCAGCATTAGGAAGTCGAATGAGATTATGTGGGGGCAAACTCAGTCGGCGATGGGACTGCGTGAAGCGCACGGAAAAGTTCATGGAAAAACCCTGACCTGTCCATTGTAAATGGTGATGTTTACGCCTTTGGCTAAACGCTTGTCCACCTGAGAAAAATTTTATGAGACTTCATAATCTCTGTGGTGGCAGACGACGGAAAACTAAAATCAGGCTCGTCTCTTCTCGTTTACACTGGGATTAGCTGTTACCTCTTCAATTCTTGGTTTCATGAAATCTCCATACATGGCTGGAAAAACCAGGCGAAACTGTCCTTGCCATCTACAACACAGATGAATTTTGATTGACCCGGGAAAAGATCAATATAAAGGATTGGGTCAAACTGCAAGTAGAGTTAAATCTGTCAAACATTTCTGGTCTTCTGGAACTTACGTCACGTTATCTGGGATGATCTTTAGCTTCTTTCTTATCGGTCCGTTCATCAAGCTTCTGAAGTCACTATTGGCTGCCCATGCTCCAGTTGAGGTTCTCTCTGTGTATCTTGTTGAGCTACTTCTACTCTCTTTCACCACCGCAGAGTTGCTCTCCAATTCTGACATGAAGTTGTAAAAGTCCTGCAGGTCATGCGGCTCTCAGAAACTCCCTCTACAAGAACAAGTGATAGAGAAAGATACCACGTTATTACTGTATTGCTGGATGACTTGCTCCAGGTCTCGAAATGTTGCCGTGGCATCTTCCGATTTGCCTTCTGCAAGTTGCTGCTGGATCTTCAGGGCTAAACTGGATAGCACGATAGTTAACTTGACGTTATGCTCGTCTGTCTAGTTTTTTTTGTGTAAGGTCTTAGAAGGAGAAATGCGACTTAGACCTGTTGGATTGAGTCAAGCCGTTCTCATCGATTCGCGACATGACTTTAAGAACAGGTCCATATGAGAACTTCGATGTAATGCAGATACAGCAGTAAGTCACCAAGAGTCACCAAGCAGAAATGGTTATCTTCATTATGCAAAACAAACAAATTTCTTGGTGGCTGAAATCACATACCACAAAGTCCTCAGGAGAAATCCAGCTATCCCCCAAAGCAACTCCTATATTTGGACATTACGATAAAACATCAGAAATAGCGGGTTTCTGAGCATCGAATATTGAAAGTCGGGACAAAGAGCGACTACTTCAAACAAGTGCCACAAAGTAGTTGGGAAAAAAGAATTTCTACCCCCAAGTTGGGCCTTCAGTTTTCCAGCTTCAATAGCTTCTAGAGCTATTACTCCAAGGGCAGAAGCAAATTTGCCTCCATATGATTCTGCAAAGATGTACAGAGGACTCTTTTGGAGGGTCTCGTTCCCATTGAAGAGCTCTATCAGCAAAGTGGTCAGATCAGCTGCTGCTTCATTGTCTGTTCTCACTACTAAGCTCTCATCGTCCACATAACTGAAACCTGTTGCCACTGGACTGTCCTATGTACACAGAGGATTACGAGTTACAAAAAACACTAAGCAGCGGTGCCTCCTAAATGCCAATACCTAGAAGGGCATTCTTCAGAATGACTGTATGAAATTGAAGAGACACTGCTACGTACCACGAATAAGAGATCCGCTTTTCGAAGCCACGTGAAATTCCGGGGCTGCAAATTCTCATCCAGTGGTCCGATTTCTTTGAAATTTCCAAATCCAACACCGGAGGCTCCCTAGGAAAATGAAGGAGAGAGGTAATGAAAACACATTGATTTTCATTCTGTTGGGTGTAATTTCAAAGGTAAAATTCTCACGGGGCCTCCTTGGTGCCACAGCAGTACTGGCCAGGGTTTGGAAGGTTCTTCAATGGCTCAAATGAACATACATATACACAGCAATCATTTATTTGATCACGGCCATATGTTGTTTTTTCCACCAAACTGAAGAATTTGGACACCATAACTACGTACCTGGTCGAACTTCCACATATCCCCACTGCTGGGACCCGTCACTTTTTCCTTCGGCCGAGGAAAAACGTGGATGCCCAAACGAGAACAAAAGGAGGAGAGAGAGGAAAAGGAAATGTTTCTCCATCACCGCCATCTTTGTCATTCGTTGCAGAATGAATAAGCTGGAGGGCTTGTTATATGGGGGGTGGGCTCGGACGACCATGATTTTGCCGTAAGGAGTCTCGCCTGGGTTTGTCTCCGACTAGTTGAATTCAATATGAGAAAACGAAGACAGATATAGACTTTTAAGAGACCAGATCGCCTTATTCAATTAGTTAGAGCTACAGCGACACCGTCCAAAGCAAGCTTTTTGTACTCGTCGGGTTGCGATTGGATCGCAGGGGACAACCGGAAACAAGCGAGAGCGAAGCAACATTGTTTAGAATCTGGAATGGGGAGTCTCCCAATTAACTACCAACGAGAACAAAAACGAACAAACGAGCGAGGACTTCTTGATGTGTCGACTTCAAGAACTCCATCGAATCTCGACCCCGAACAAGGGGAAGGAATTGGTTTAGGATGTATGTTGTTTGATGAGACAACATCAGTCGTCAATTCTGTTAACTCTCTCTCTCTTACGTTGGATTGTGATCGGGTCGATTGGGACAAAGGGAAAGAAAGTGCGAGCAAAGCAAACATTATGTAAAATCTGGGATGGAGGAAGTCTTCCAATCAAGCACCAACGATAACAAAACAAACAAGGCAGGCGCTCTTTGATTTGGCGTCTTCTAGAGCTCCATCGAATCTCAAAGCCAAACAAGGGGAGGAATTTGTTTTAAGGTATTTGATTTTTGGGACAAGTGCATTGGAAGTTCTAAAATTTGTTAGGAGAGTGCAACTAAGTTTTAAAACTTTCAAAAAGCGCAATTAAGTTCTTACACGAAAGTGCAATTGAGTCCTAAAAATCTCAAAAATAGCAATTAATAAAAAGACTTGATTGGACCAATTTAACAAGTTTTAGGACTCGATTGCACTTTTATGACAAGTTTTAGGACTGAATTGCATTTTTGAGATTTTTAGGACTCAATTGCACTTTTGTGACAAATTTTAATATATCCGATATAGTTATCCCTTATTTTTTTTTTTGGGAGACTGCATCAGTACTCAATTCTGAATCTCCCTTCCTTCCCGTTGGCTAACGGCGCGAATAATAACTATTATGTTCCATAAACACCTGGAACAAAATAGATTCTATTTCTGTTTCATGCAAGTTTCGAGGAAAGAAACTCATTTGATAAATGACAAAAAATTTCTATTTCTATAACAAAACTCGCTTTGATAACAACATAAAATTTCTATTTCTTGGAACATAAATCCGTTTGATAACAACACAAATTTCTATTTCCTGGAATATAAATCCATTTTTTTAGAAATGGTCTCTAAAATAAAAATTAATCAAAACACCCAAACCCTAGTAAAGCGCTAAATGCTAATTCATTCAAAGGATTGTGTTGTTTTTTTAGGGTTTTAGGGTTTTAGGGTTTTTTAGGGGTAAAGATCCCTTTTGGGGGTTAAACCCATTTTAGGGTTTTTTAGGGGTTAAAACCCATTTTAAATCCCTAAACTAAGGAGACTTCAAAAATATCATTTGGGTACCTCAACAAATTTAAATTTCTATGAATTTTTCTGGAATTTTTCAATTTTTATGGATTTTCTGAAATTTTTTTTGAGATTTTTAGGAATTTTCCGGATTTTCTAATTTTTTTTTATGAATTTTGTGAATTTTTTTTCTGATTTTTCTAAATTTTTTAGAATTTTTTATTTTCCTGGTCGGGAATGAACTGAATCGAACCGCCTCGCACCAGGGCCAAATTTAGGAAGAGATGTGTTTTGAAGAGAGAAAACAGTGTTCTTTTAAAAATGGTTTTCATTTCTCGTCCGTAAAACGTAAAACCTACTTTTTTTTTCGATTTTTAGTCCAGAATCCGCTTCTCGAACAAAAAGTTGTTCCGAAATAGAAAAATGGAATTGCGTTATCAAACGGGTTTGTTCCAAACCCGTTCGGGAACGTAAAATTAGTTCTACATGAAACATAATGGTTATTATGCGCGCTCTAAGGGCCCATTTGGTAACTTCTGCACAAATAATGAAAATTTCTCGTTCTTTTATTCCCGAATCGGTTTGGGAACAATCTATTTGTTAAATTTTTTGTGCCCGGGCACAATTTTGCAAAAAATGTTCCCGAAATCAATTTGGGAACAAAATCAAGAAGCAAAAAAAGTAACTTCTTGATTCTTGAACAATTTTTCCATTTCGATTTTTCTTGATTTTCTTCTTTTTTCTTGGTTTGTTGTTCTTCTTCTTCCTGGCCTGCCGCCCGCCTGCCGCCGCTGCCGGCCATCGGCCACAGGCCAGGGCTGGCGAGGGCTGCTCACGGCCGTGACGGCGAGACCTCGCCCAGATCTGGCGATGGCGAGGTCGGCCTCGCCCAACCAACGCGAGGCCGACCTCGCCGTCACGACCTGCGAGGTCGGCGGCAAGGCCGTGACGCCTGCCGGCCTTGGCCTCGTGGCCGATCGTTGGTGCCGCGATCGGCCATGGCCAAGGACGGGAAGGAAAAAATAAAAAAAAAAAAAAAAAAGGAAAAAAGAGAAAGAAATATTAAAAAATTCAAAAATTGTTAAAATATTATTAATAAAAGAAATTTTGTGTAGTTATCAAACACATTTCTGTTCTTTTTCTATTCTAAGAATAGAAATTTTGGGCAATTACAAAACGCCTTTAAATACTTAGAAATTGTTCCCGCATTAATAAAAAGAATCATTTCGAGCGTAACTGCTCTAGGCACAAAATGATTGCTTACGCACACCTAAATTGCGTTGCGTGCCAAGCAGCAGCCACCGGATGAGAAGCAGATATTAGCTGTGGCTAGGAGGCGCTCCTTCATTGGTGTCCCTTGTTGTGCACATGTGGGCTCAACCACACCCTAATTCCTTTTCTTTTTCCGTTTTCCCTTTGTGCCCTCGTAAGAATTAGGATTGAATCGACAACCACAGAGCTTGATACCTAAACAAAACTATCGATATTACATAGTTTTGTGTTAAGATAATTAAATATTCAAAATCACGTATTTATAACATCTTAAGCTTTTAGAGCTAGTCAATTCTTACTTGGTACTAGAGCTAGTTGGTTTTGAAGTGCACCCAAGTGCGTATCAAGAACTAATTTTGTTTCTCATCATTTCATTTCCAATAAGTCCTAAAATCCTCCGGTCAAGTTGATTTTCACATTGTTCATTTTGTCCGATAACCAACATCATCTATAGAGCCCTCGTCGACTAGAGGCGAGGCCAGCCCTCCCCCTTGTTTTATTCTTTTTTTTTTAATTTAATTTAACTAAAATTAATGTTAAAATGATTTTTAGACGAAAATACCCTTAATCGGCCGGAAAATTTGGCCGGTTGGCGAGCCAGCGGGATGAGACCTTTATTTAAAACTGTTATAGTCACTTCAGATCCTTATTTAAGATAATGTCCACTTCAGATTCTTATTTGAGAAAATAAAAACACTTGATATTTTTATTTGAAATTTTTCCTGAAAAAGTTATAGGCATCCGGGGGAGGGGGGTTCCTTAACCAGTGCTGAATAAATTCCCCTCGAATGAGCAAAAGATGACTCAATCTCCTTGTCATCTCATCCGTCCCGCGGTTCACTGTTGAGAGAGGCCCCAGATTACACGTCTCTGTTGAGGAAAACTCCTATTGATTTTGAAGCTGACAAAACCTTCCATGTTATTGTAAATCGATACTTATTCGATCTAATTTATTCCAGGAATGTATATTCTGGAAGCTTAGAAGAAATTTTTTCAAACTTTACAAGCTGGTAAATACTTTATTGAAGACCCACATAATCTTAGTTCTGAGATTCAGACGAAGAAATTTTTCAAAAGCACATCAAGGTGAAATTTTTCGGGAGGTGAACGCAGAGGCGTAGAAATCTCTTCGACGCAGACCAGAAACGAAACATAACATTTAGTGATCCGGTATGGATTTCATAGAAGGAAAGTTTTGATTATTTCAATCTAAGGCTATAATTGATTGACAATCAAATACTACGACAAGTATGCATTACAACGGATAAAGTTCTACTTATAGAAACCAAGATTCTGATTGTATGGGCGATCAGAATCAGCAGGATTCAGAATCTGTCATCCAATGGCTACTCAATCCTTATTATACAAATCTATCCAAGATGAAGATTAGAAGATGATTCTCTAAAAGCTGTCCAACGGCTAGTTTGGAAGTAGAGGAGTATTTAAGGAGATCAACTAGTAGCAGAAGGTAGCACAGATTCAAGAATCAACAAGTCCAAAGTTTGAGCATACTCCAATGATTTCTCTTGTCGTTCAGAGCCAAAAATTAAGATCTAGAGGGTTACTTTGTAAGAGTGATTGTGTGAGATAGAGAGTCCTATCATACACAAGAGTGTCATACTCAAATCAGTAAATTCCTCTTGATTACATAGTGAAATCCAGCCGGTAGGCTGTCAACGTGGGAGAGTAGACGTAGGCTTACTATAAGTCGAACCACTATAAACTTGTGTACAGTTTTTCTATCCCTTATCTCTTAATTTACATACTGCACATCAAGAGCACCGTTTATATAATCTGTTTTGAATCTGAAGTTTATTCAGACTAAGTTGTGATTATTCATTTCCGCATAATTTGACAAAAATTGTTTAAGATCACCTATTCACCCCCCTCTAGGTGATCCTTGCTAGCTACATCAATTAGTATCAAAGCAGGTTGCTCATTTATTGAAGTGTTTTACTTCTGAGTTAACGATCTACATGGCTAGCTTTGGTGCTCCAGGGCTCATTAAAGGACAGAGCAACAACAGACCACCATATTTCGATGGCAAGGAATATAGTGTCTGGAAGAATAAGATGAAGGCATTCATAAAGTCAATTGATCACATGCAATAGGATGTCATCATCAAAGGAGTCAATCCAAAATCTTCTGATTCAAAAGAAAAGGCAGAT